CCTGCCAGTCATAACACAGCACAATGGGGGCCAGCAGCAACCAGGCATTAAAGGACAGCAAATATGAGTAGGTTAAAAACCTGTGGAGTTAGAGAAAAAAGAAGAAAAGGACAAAGATATAATAGATGCTTGGTTGTCTAAGGTTACAACTAAGTTAGAATGATCTAATAAACTGACATTTAAAGCCCAGTCAAAGAAACCTATAGCAGATCATGGTATACTGAATCCTACGCGTCTTTAAAAGAGTCATGTTGCTGCTGGTGTTCATGTTTGCTCTGACTTAGTCTTTGTATTCTCCCCTTTTGTGAGTGCAGCACAGTATTAAATCCCAGTTCTTTTGTATTCTTTATGGCCAAGAAAGACACGGGGCTCAGAGTGGTCAAACTCAAACAATGATCTTAAATTTCACATATCCGGGATATGGAGACCTGAACACATACATACAACCCCAGGTCTGAAGCACAAACGGAAGCCTAGTTATTTATATACTTGCTCTCTACGTCACACCACACTTTAAGTTTCGATCAAACAGCCTAGTTGGTTTCACTTTCACCATGTCGTCTCCTGTCAACACTTTTGGCACAGAGTGTACTCAGAGTTAGGCCTTTCTTATATAAAGCAATATAATCAACATATAAGCATTTAAGATGATAAATTTAAACCTCAACAACAGTTATGATCAAACCTGTGTGACATGTATTAATTCTGGAGATTTGTTGTAGCTACCTGCTTCTATTAAAACAGCAAAACTCAACAGTGAGAACTGACAAACAGGACATTGAAGGCTAAAACACCTGTTAATTGAAAGAGGAATTTGGCACCCAGACTTTGCTGTCTGCTTTTGTAAATTACAAAATTCAAGAGGCAATGTGTTTGATATGTCAGTAATAATTAATTTGATCCTCAAAGACTGTTAGGAAGTTAAAGTGGTTTGATCTTTTGGCAGAAAGCATCTTTGGATATTTCCAAACTATGGGCACTAATGTGTTACAACCTCAACTCTTTTAGATTTTTCCAAGTAATGCTGACACCACCAGTGGGCAGGAATAAATAATGTAAACTTCATTCTACTCCTTTTTTAAGTATATATATATTGTGGTGTATTTGTGGGAACTTTATTTTTATTTTCTATGTTGTTTTGAATTTACAATGTATTTTCTTGCTTGTTGTTATTTCTATTTACATATTCAAAATAAAACAATTGGTCAGTCAACCAGTCAATCAAAATGTGCAGTGATTTGTGCCAGTTCATATACAAAAAAGGTTATGGTGCTTTATATTGATTTATATTGATAAACATATGCAGATACATTAACATTAATTAAAACTAGATACAATATAAAAATAAGAATAAATAAATGTCAAACTTTACTACAGTATACAGGGTTTAACAGATGAGAATTTCATTCACTGTTAAATGCTGTGCACGGAGCACACGTGCTAATAAGAGAACACGCAGTCTTGCCAAAAAGAAGGTTTTCAAAGGACTTCATGTGGTCCTGTGAAAAACTAAGTACATCCTTATGGAATCCAAAATACATGGGTAACAGGAAAGACCAACACAAAGTGGTG